GGTCGTAAGCCAATACAATGGTGTCTATGAAGACACCCATCCGGTTATTATCAAATACTTGCAAGCGGTCAAGGATGAAGCTGGGACACTTGAAGACTTCAAGTTAAGCCAAGTGCCCAGATAAAAAAAAAATCAGGCGGATGCTCTGTCCAAACTAGCCTCATCCGCCTCCTGTTAAACGCCTCGGTTAGTCTTCTAGGAAGTCATGGAAAAGAGAAGTATATCTGATGAGGATCCCATTGGAGTAATTGACCGAAGCTTCACCTGGATAAATAACATCCGGGCATACCTAACAGACGGCACCCTCCCAGATTAACCTCAGGAGGCGGTCGTGATGAAAAAACGGGCTGCAAACTTTGAGATAAGGCAAGGAGAGCTCTTCAAACAGGTTTCTTGAAGCCTCTTTGAAGTGTGTGACCCCAGAAAAGGGGCAAGAAATCCTCGAAAAATTGCATGTCGAATACTGTGCCTCTCATGTAGGCGGCAGATCCTTAGCTGTCAAGGACAGGCGGCATTACTTCTGGCCGACCCTAGAGTCGGATGCTATTGAGATGGTTATAAAATATGACAAGTGTCAAAAGTTTGGCGAGCTGATCCATCGTCCAGGCACTGACCTGACGGCCATCCTATTCCGTTTGCTAAATAGGGCATGGACATTCTGGGTCCATATACGACTGCTCCAGGCGGTAGGCACTACATCTTTGTGGTTGTGGATTACTTTACCAAATGGGTAGAGGTAGAGTCGGTCAAAAACATCAAGACAAAGGACGTGATTTCCTTCATCTGGAAGAATATCATCACTCGTTTCGGGGTGCTTATATCTATGGTTTTTTACAATGGTCCTCAGTTTGACACTCCTCACTTGAAGACTTGGTTAGGAGATCAGGGGATCTCTACTTATTTTGCATCAGTCGGCCAACCCCAAGCAAATGGCCAAGTTGAAGCCTTCAATAAATTAATCTCAAACGACATTAAAAAGAAAATTGAGATAGTTGGCGGCCTATAGGCGGATGAATTACCACACGTCCTGTGGGCCATCAGAACAACCGCAAAAGGGGCGACTGGAGAGACCTCATTCCTCATGGTGTACGGGGCAGAAGTTGAGCATACAAGAAAAGAGTACACAAGCGTAGGGGTAACTGGTGTACTCTTCGGATTATGCTATATGATGAAGAGGCGAACTGGGAGGCCATGCGCCTGCCATTGGATTCACTACCAGAGCGCAAGGGTAATGCTGCCTTGCGCCATGAGATCTAGCGTCTGAGAATGACTTGAGAGTACAAGAAAAGAGTACACAAGCGTCCTTTAAAAGTTGGGGACTTTGTGTTACGGAAAATGGAGGCAATCGGTAAGGAAAATGAACAAGGGAAGTTAACCCCAAATTGGGAAGGCCCCTACCGAATCTATGAAGTAAGAGACGGCACCTACCGCCTGGAAACACCAGACGATAGGAGGCTACCCAGAACCTGGAATGTAGATAACCTGAAAAAGTATTACTTCTGAAATTTTGTAAAGTTTTTTGACTTGTTAATGAAATTTTGCCTTCATTTCATACTTGTCTTTATTTTCTTTTCCTTATTTTGAGCACCAGTTGCAGAAAGTGCAGAAGGACCAGGCTCATAACAATGAAGGATGCAGCCTGCACTGTGTGCTGGCGGATCTTACTTACCGTCTATGGTACCGCCTTCACAATGTCCAGGCAGACCAAAATTTTTAATAGCGACGTTGGAGTATCTCCTGCTCAATATGCAGACGGCCAACGGCGAGATTCTGCGAGCTACCGCCTGCCCAATAGGCAGACAACTAAGCACATTCTTAATCTAAATATAATTTCGGGATCGTCTGCCCCAACAGTAGACTCCCAAAAGAGAACCCGACTGCACCAAAGCAGTCGGCCTTAAACCTATCCTTAAGCTAGGTTAATAACTTAGTAGCTAACGCCCAAATGACGAGAGGCCAATGGCCGGATGAAAAACTAAGCTTTTAACTTAGTAGCTAGTTATCTTTTATTTTAAGCTAAGTCAATGACTTAGTGGCTATTCAGTTCTTTAACCGAGGCCAATGGCCGGATACATATTATTTAAACTATCGTCTGCTCCAACATGAGTATGACTGTCTGCTCCAACATAAGTCGGGCAACCGGCGACGTCCATTTGGGCGAATTCGTCGAGGAGAAGAATCTCCCATTTGGGTGGCACATTGCTCTACGAAAACAACAAGCGGCCCTACCGAATGCGCTAAGGCAGCGCTCACAGTAATTTGATTTAATTTAACTTGAAATCTAAAAAGCACCGAGTCTTCCGCCTGTTCTAATACAGATGGATGACGGCCACAGTTTCAGGATTAGAGGCTATTTTACCGCCTGTCCTTGCTATGGGCAAGTGTTGGGCCCGTATCAATATACAACCAAGTATATTTAGGGCACCACTTCATGATCAAGAGGCACAACCAATCAAGCAAAACGGCTTGATTGGAACAAGCAAGGAAAACAGAATAAAGAATATCAATCATGAAGATACTTGCCAAGAATATACCTACTGCACAAGGAAACAAAATAAAATCAATAAAGATCTACTTTGTGAAAATATATTCGATATCTTTGTAACCCTAGTAGCTCTTAGGTATAAATAGCAAAGTCAGACATTGTAACAGTCATGTACATTCACTCACATTTAAATATAAACTGATTATTTTGCTTATGGCTACGGATCTATGTCTCTGCTGAATGAGGAAGCTTGTCCTTACTCAGTATTGTGTCTCTAAACCTATTTCCTTGATCTTATTCGCATGCTTATTGCTTACTTATTGATTATTTATTGCTTTATTATTGTTCTTGTTTGCTTTATTCAATATTTGTGGATTGATTGTTATTACCCCTCAAACCCTAGCAAATTCTTGGATGTCCTAACTGAGATTTGCATAAACAATTTGGCGCCACCGTGGGGCTGATAATCAATTAACCTACCAACTCGCCAAAAACCAAGACAATCACCATGACTAGACACCTAGTACCCTTCACCAGTGCCGAAATCAATTAGGGAATGAACGCATTCCGACAAACCTTAGACCAGCTAAAAAGCCAAATCTAGACATTGTTGCCCAAAAGGTTCAAACCGAAGCCAAACTCACTAGTCTAACCAAACAAAATGAAGCCCTCCGCATCCAAATACAATCAGTTGCATCCAAAACCGTTAACACCAGAAAAAGTACCGAAAGTATAGCCATGCAGCTTGATATGTCCGGAACCTTCCACAACGGTAACGGGGAAAAAGGATCTAACAGCAGGGAAACTCCCCTGGAGCTAGATTTTCGGGATGCAGGAACTCTCAAGAAGGACATGCAGGAAGGAGCCGAAGAGGGAAAAATAGAAAAGGTGGTTAAGGAGTACCTCAAAGCATTTGAGGCCAAGATCGCCAAAATCCCTGGAGTGCCAAAGCCCATGGAGGAAGAAGCAGCGGATGGCTATATAAAGTCTCCTTTCTCAGAAGAGATCGCCATGGTAGAAGTGCCAAAGAGGTTCAACATGCCCAACATTAGGGGTGTTCAAATCCGGGTACCTGGGTTTTCGGGTACCCGAAAAGGCGGGTACCCGGATCTTCGAGTAGTGAGAAATTCGTCCCATGTCCCGAACCGAGAAAGTCGGGTACCCTGGTTTCGGGCACCCAATTTTCTCGGGTTTTGGTCAAAGGGTACCCGAAAAAATTTAAATCATCTCAATGAATTTTGTTTTTTAAACAATTTCAATGAAATAATGAATATGTGTACTGTATAGAGTAAAAATTAATTAAATTCAATAAATTACTTTGCTACTGTAGACCTGTAGTACTGTACAAGCACAAAAAACTTCATGAACATGATTGGAGTTCTTGTTCAACTATTAATTACTAAATGAAATACAAATACGTCATATTTTTAAACAAATCTAACTACAAACTTAAACAAACAAAAAAAATTAATAAAATACAAAGCAACTGAATTTTTACACTTTATAAAATATTATTTTTTTAAAAAAAAAGTAAAATTTACACAAAATCTAAAGACAACCAAAAATCCCACAAATGGAGAACCCAAATTGGTAGATCTTAGAGATCAAAACCCCATATTCCTGGACAAAAACGCCAAGCAAGTAACCGTAATGCCGCCTAGTGTAGTAGTGTTGTTGCTTTCCCTTTTGCCGCGACTCATAGTGTGTGAAAGAAAGTTTGTAGAGAGGGAGAAAGATGGTTTGTAGAAAATGAATGAGATTTAGAGCAGAGAGAAAGCATTATAGAGTGAATTGTTATTGATGGGAATGACGGCTATAGTATTATAGGGAATAATAACAAGGTTAAAAACCCTAACCCTTTACATTATACGTACAGTAATATCTTTTATTAAGAAAAAGCTTACGGGTCAGCGGGTACCCGACATCCTCACATTTTGGCCCATGACCCGGCCCGAAAATCTGCTAATTTTAAAAAAAAATACCCGGTTATATTAAGTCGGGTCGTCGGGTCATTGGGTCGGGTCAGTCGGGTCGGGAATTTTTGAACACCCCTACCCAACATGGCCATATATGACGGAACAACGGACCCCGATGAGCATGTGTCCCTTTACAAGCATAAGATAATGACAAGCTAAATCCCTAGAGAGATCAGGGAATCCATCATGTGCAAAGGCTTTGGAGCCACATTATCAGGTACAGCCCTAACTTGGTTCATTAATTTAAATAATGGGACAATTCGATCTTTTGCAGGAATGGTGAATCTATTTAAGATTCAATTTGCTAGCAGCAAAAAAATCGAGAAGCAGTCCTCAGATCTATACCGTGTTGTGCAAAGACACGGAGAATCCTTGAGGGACTATCTTAACAAGTTCGACAGGGAGAAAATTGGGATACACAAATGCGATGCTCCTACAACAATCGAAGCATTCAGAAGAGGCTGCTAGACTATAGTGAGCTCTACAAGGAGTAAACCAACTATCCCTGTACGACCTTCGAGGATGTGCAAGCTAAAGCTATGGCGCAAGTCAGATTTGAAGAGGATGTCTATGCAAGAAAGACTCCCGAACCAGATCACCATTTAAGAAGGAGCAACAACTTTTCCAAGAGAGATCATCGATTCAAGCCGTATCAGCGTTCCCGTTTTGGTGAAGGATCAGTCAATGCTGTCGAGGAAGAATTCTCAGATTGGAGGGAGGATCCTAAACTCCCACCTAAATTGCATGAATATTGTTTCAATGTTAACCCTGCAGGATTAATTAAGACCCTAAACAAGATGGGAGATACCGTGCAGGGGCCTAGAAAGAGTGACAGGCTTGGAGAGAAGAAGGATCCGTCAAGATGGTGCGACTTCCATTCAGATATTGGTCATACAACCGACGAATGTGTTGCGCTCAAGAAGGAAGTTGCTTACCTGTTGAAGAAAGGGTATCTCAAAGAACTCCTATCAGATAGATCCAAAGCTCAAGGAAGGGAAAAAGAATCCAAGCAAGGTGGCCCCCTACCTCCTCCTCCAATTGTCAAAACCATCTGCTTCATATCAGGAGGATCAGAAGTATGCGGCTTAACATACTCAGTAGCGAAGCGGCATGCAAAAGAAAGCAACAAGGATCAACCCGACAGAAGGGGAAGGTCAAAAATGGATATCCCCATCATGTTCAAAGAGAGAGATGCAGTGGAAGGCCATCATGACAGCCTAGTAATTTCGCTCCCAGTTGGAAATTGTATGATCAAGCGAATCCTTGTTGACAATGGAAGCTCTGCAAACATCATCATGCTTGATACCTTGAAACATATGAACATCGATGAGAAGAACATCATCAACAAGTCAACAATGCTAGTAGGGTTCAGTGGGGAAACCAAGAAGACAAGCGAAGAGATCACATTAGCCACTTATGCAAAGGGGGTCAACTTACAAGTCAAGTTCCTAGTGATCGACACTCTATCATCGTACAATATGATTCTGAGCAGACCATGGATACATGAGATGAAGGCCATCCCCTCCACATATCATCAAGTCATTAAGTTCCCTACCAGATGGGGTATTCGGGAAATCAAAGGGGACCCTAAAGAAGCCAAGGAATGCTACAAGATTGCACTAAAAGCAACATCTGCAGAGAAGAGTTCAGCATAGCAATCAGAGGGTCAGCTGGGCCAAGAGAAGCTGAGTATAGCAGAAGAACAAAAAGCCACAGAAGTCGAGCTGAACCCTAACCACCCAGATCAGAAGGTCAGAATAGGAACAGAGTTGAATTTAAATCTTCGTCAGCAAATTTATGAATTCTTAGAAGAAGAGAAAGATGCGTTTGATTGGACTCACGAAGACATGAAAGGCATCTCCCCAGATGTGATCACTCATAAACTGAACGTAGACCCAATACATGCACCGATAAAGCAGAAAAGAACAAAATTTACGCCAGAATGGAACAAGATCATTAATGAAGAAATCCAAAATCTGTTGAAGACAGGAAAGAATAGAGAGGTAAAGTACCCAGAATGGCTTGCTAACGTTGTGGTGGTCAAAAAGAAGAATGGAAAATGGCGAATCTGTATTGACTTCACAGATATCAACAGGGCCTGTCCAAAAGACCCCTTCCCATTACCTCACATTGATGCCATGGTAGACGCAACAGCAGGGCACGAACTGTTATCCTTCATGGACGCATACAGTGGGTACAACCAAATCCTCATGCACAAAGATGACCAGGAAAAAACCGCTTTCATCAGTAGTCAAGGAATCTACTGCTACAACGTAATGTCTTTTAGATTAAAGAACGCAGGAACGACGTACCAAAGGTTGGTGAACAAGATGTTTGAAGAGCAAATTGGGAGCACAATGGAAGTCTACATAGACGACAATGTAGTTAAATCTAAGAAGGCAGCTGATCACGTCAAAGACCTCAAAGAAGCCTTCGTCATCTATTCGGCATGAAGCTAAATCCTACAAAATGCACATTCGGAGTTCAGTCGGGAAAATTCCTTGGATACATGGTAATACAAAGAGGAATAGAAGCCAGCCCAGACCAAGTCAAAGCCATCCTGGACCTAGAACGACCGAAGTCAAAGAAGGACGTACAAAGCATAACAGGGAAAATTGCAGCACTGAACAGGTTCATCTCAAAGTCTTCAGACAAGAACAGAGCCTTCTACGAAGTCTTGAAGAAGAATAAGGAATTCAAATGGGAACAAGAGCACGACGAAGCCTTTCAGAAGTTAAAGGAATACTTGGCCAACCCGTGGATGCTCTCTAAACCTAGAGAAGGGAAGCTACTCCAATTGTACTTCGTAGTATCTGAAAGGACGATCAGCGCAGTCCTCACCAGAGAAGAAGACAAAGAGCTATTTCCTATCTACTATGTGAGCAAAACTCTACTTAGTGCGGAAACGAGGTACGCATCCTTGGAGAAAATCATTTTGCTTTAGTCACTGCCTCAATAAAGCTACGCCCATACTTTGATATCCATTCTATACGAGTACGAACCAAATACCCCATCAAGGCCATCATGAGAAAGCCAGAAATGTCAAGAAGGATGGAGAAATGGGCCCTACGTCTAATCAGGTACGATATACAATACGAGCCTAGAACCGCAATCAAGTTACAAAGCTCTGGTAGACTTCGTAGCAAACTTCAGCCCGGCCCTTGAGGAGGAAGCACAGAAAGAGGTATTGGCCTTACAGGAGCCAAAAGCTACATAGAAATGGACGCTCCATATAGATGGCGCAACAAACATACGGGATGTAGGCCTAGGAGTGGTGTTGACATCACCACAAGGAGACAAAATAACGCAAGCAGTAAGGTGTAAATTCAAGGCAACCAACAATGAGGCCGAATACGAAGCATTAATCACAGGGCTAACTGTCGCAAGAGATATGAAGATACAGCATCTATAGGTAATCTCATATTCCTTACTCATGGTAAATCAAATCAATGGGGAATACGCAGCAAAGGACGCCAGGATGATAGCCTACCTAGAAGTCACAAAGAGGCTCATCAAGGAATTTAAGGAATTCAAGATAGACCAGGTACCCAGAAACTTAAACACTGAAGTAAACGCCCTGGAAAACTTAAGGTCAAATATTAATCCTGATGAAGTTGGAGCCATCCCCTAGTACACGTACTCTCCCCAGCTATAGAGGAAGAATCAGCTATGAATGTCTACGAAATTCAAACAGACCCTACAGGGAAGGAAGAAAGTAGCTGGATGAAACCTCTCAAAGATTACCTCTTAGACAAAACATCACCAGCAGGGAAGGTGGCAGCCCAAGCACTTGCCTCAAAAGCCTCAAAGTATTGCCTAATTAGCAACGTACTCTTCAAAAAGTGCGTAGCGGGTCCCTTCTTACGATGCTTAGAAAAAGAAGAAGCGCAACAGGTCCTACAGTCCCTACATAGTGGTGAATGCGAAAACCATTCAGGAGGAAGGAATTTAGCCAACAGAGCACTCAGAATGGGGTACTACTGACCCAGCATGAGAAAGGACGCTGTAGAGTTTTCCAAGAAATGCTTAGCATGCCAGAAACACACACCTTTAACACACAAGTCGTCTGAAGAGTTGTACCCAACATTGACACCTTGGCCATTCATGAAGTGGGGAATGGATATAGTAAAACTACCTCCATCATCAGGACAAATAGTATACTTCCTAGCAATGACGGATTACTTCTCAAAATAGATAGAAGCAGAAGCATACAAGGATATTAAGGATAAACATGTCATCTCATTTATCAAGAGGAACATCATAAGTAGATTTGGAGTACCAGCAGAGATCATTACAGACAACGGGTCCCTGTTCATCAGCAACAAAACAACAAAGTTCTGCAAAGAATGGAACATCTCCCTCATCATGTCCACACCAAGATACCCACAAGCAAACGGACAAGCAGAATCAAGCAATAAGGTCCTAATAGGCAACATGAAGAAAAGACTAGAAAGAGAAAAAGGGAAATGGGCAGATGAACTACCCAACATACCATGGGCAGACAGAACAACTTTAAAAGGCGCTACAGGTCATACCCCTTTCTCAATGGTATACGGATGCGAAGCAGTAATCCCAACATAGGTAGAGTCCCCACAGCAAGGTACGAGTTGATGACATAAGAAAGGAACCAAGCTGAACTAATACACAACCTAGACACCGTAGAGGAAATAAGAGAAGACGCAAAAATGAGGATGGTAGCCTACCAGCAAGAAGTAGCAAGGTCTTTCAACAAGAATGTCAGAGCAAAGGTTTTCAAATTAGGAGATTGGGTCCTTAGAAAGGTGTACGAAAATACCAGAGAAGTAAACGCAGGAAAACTAGCACCCAACAAGGAAGGACCCTACGAAATCATCAAGGTAGTAGGCAACAGAGCCTACAGACTCAAGAGCGCAAAAGGGAAAGAGGTACAAAGAAGCTGGAACGCAGCACATTTAAAGCTCTATCATTTCTGAAGAGCAAAGGTACGTAGTTATCATTTCAATTTCGTTTTTACAAAAAAAAAAACACAAACAAACACAAAAAATAGGAAAACAATAAAAACCCAAAAAAAAGAAGAAAAACAAAAAAAACAATAATCTCCAACAGCCAAAAGCAGCACGATAGGTACTCTTCTTCACTTAAACTTTGTCAATTCAATTTATATTCACTACGAGTACTGACTTTGGCATCGGAGGGCCGTTGGGGAAACCCACGGCCACCCCTCACCCAACTCTATTTTGTAAGGACAACAACTACGCTGCCATACAAAGCACAACAAGACATGGCAAGGCAACCACTATTTATCCCTGCAAGGAGCAAATCATTTATCCCTACAAAGCAAGCGAACACCATCAACAAATACATGTAAGCAATACTACACCCATACTATAACTGTAATACAACTGCAATACAACTGCAATACAATGAGAAATGCAAGGCTGACAAGAAAGCACACATAACATAACAAAGTAGTAAGATTACCTAGTTGCAAAGGGCAACAAAACAAGCGAAACATCCAACTGCAAAGGCAGCACAAAAACAAATAAACAAACATCCAACTGCACTAAGGCAGTAAAAACAAACATAACTTAAAAATGTTCAAAACTAACAGGTGACACAGCACCATTAAAACTAATTCTCCCCAGTGTTGTCAACAGGGGTCTTCTATTCAGCAGCAGACTTTGAATCCTCAGGACCATCTTTTACATCCTCGTTCATTGGAGAGTCAACTTCTTCATCAGCATAGCTCAACAACAATGTGCCAGGAGCAGCAGTCCCTGCAGGAAAGGTTTTTTCAAAACAGACTTCTCAGCAGCATAATCCCACGCCTCATGCTTTCCTTGCTGATAATCCTCCATCATCTCCAAGTGTGCCTTTCCAAAGTAATAGCTAGCCGCGTCAAGAAAGTCGTTTGCAACCTCCTTCAGAGTATTCTTCAGCCCATCCCGATCAGCAAGGCACTCCTTGTACTTGGTCCATTCAGCTTTCAAAGCATCAGTGGCAGCCTTATACATATCAACAAGAGCATCACACTCCTTCTTCACGACATCATAAGCCCGAATGAACTCTGACACCTTGTTCAGTACACCTAGGCACGACTGAAAGCTCTGCAAAAGCACACAACAAAGTTAGATGACACAATTGGACATTCAATATTGTTTTGTCGATTTTTTTAAGGGAGTATACTATACCTGGAAAGACTGCGCAACAGCCTCTTGAGAAAGGTCGGCGAAAGTCTGCGAAGATTGGCGCTCCTTGAAGGCTGGGAAGAGCATATTACCCACATGAGGGGCTAGAGAATCATAAGAAAAGTTAACAACATCAACATCAGTAGGAATCTCCAGCTTCCTCTTAAGATTGTTGAGAGGAGGAGGTGAAGGAGGAGCACTCCTTAGAGGCTTCACATTACCCGGAGCAGGGACATCCTCTGAACCCTTAGAAGAGGCCCGCGATCTAATGCGACCCTAGATAGAGGAAGAACTAAGCAATTCATGAGACCTCAACGACCTTGAAGTATCTACAAGGAACATGACAAGTTCAAAAGGGAATACAGCAAGGAACATAACATGATCTATAAGGAACACAGCAAACTCTATAAGAAGCGTAAGAAGTACAAGGACAACAAACCCATAAAGGTACATAGCTAATCCAAAAGGGAAAGCAAACGGGAAATCAA